ACAATCCGCCCCGTGCTTTCCATATTCTCGCGCCGTTGCTGCGAATGGAAAAGCAGGGAGAGACGGAGCGGCGCGTGCACGTGTCCTCTTCCCTCCCCCTCCCCTCATCCGACAATTAGACGTCTCCCAACTCGGCCGCGCACGCGAGTAAATAACACAGCGACATTGTTCCCTGGACGCCGTATGAGATGCTTCCCCACTCCCCTCTGACTGGGAAAGACACGCGAGCGGGAATAATGAATAGCTACTCCGACGCGTCGCGTAAAGGGAAAAGTAGATTAGCTTTCGCGAGTACGTTTCGGCGCCTTGATTCCGTACGAGGGAGTTGGTGCCATCTTTTTTTTTCTCCCTTTCATCAAGCTCTCGCACGCGCCTCTGAAAGACCGAGCAAGGTTTCAAAGGTCTATACGTACGCGTTCGCACACGCGAGAGATGCGCGTGCCACTTTGCGATGAATTTTTTTTTCTTTTTTTTTCTCCCCTCTCTTTCTCTCTCTCTCTCTCTCTCTGCTCGGGAGCTCAAAGAACGCCACCCGACGCGCGTTTAGTCGCGCCCTCGCGACAATGATTGCGCAGGGGATGAATGGCGTGACGGGCTCGCGCGCGTGCGAGCTTTTCCCCAAAGGGAATGCGGAAGCGAGCGGCTTTTTTGTACCGCTTGAAAAAGTTTCCCGTGACATTCGCCCACAGACCCGGTCTGCGTACCCATGTTCCTACGTGTGCTTTTCACGCCGTTTGGGGGAGCTTGCGAAAATTAATTTCTTTTTTTTTCCCATTGAGGAGCAAAGTATTTGCTAGTACTGTGGGTGTGTATAGAAAGCTCTTCGGAGCGAAGGATAAATTCGCGTGACCTGCAGTTTGAAAATGCACGCGCATCAAGACCACATTCGCAGGTACATTAAAGGTACACCTCCGATCGGGCGTATGATTCATAGTATACCGTTCGAGCAGCGTTGCAGCCGCAATAAAGCCCAGTCCCGCTATTGTCGTCAATTATTTCATTCCAGGGGGATGGGTGTACGAGGCAGCCAGTGAATTTTTTCCGCTCACATGATACGGGTATACACGAGTAAATCTTTTGCGCGTCGCATTCGGTTAATGCCATTATTATACCACTCACTGCGCGATCGGCTCGGAATTTATTGGACTCTCTGGTTTTGTTGTGGAAAAAAAGTATTTAAGTCCCGAATCGCGAATATCTCGTCTATTTGTTTTTCCTCCGATTGCGATTCCAAATTCGCTGGAATAAATCAAACTTTTACCGAAAATACGCTGTAAGAATAACAAAAACTTTTTTTTTTTATTTAAACTAGAATCGGAAAAAAATCGTGCTACTTTATAGAGCTCGGGAGGTACGCGATACACGCCCTTGCCATTATTTACAGCGAAACGTCACGTTCGGTTTGTGATTTTTTCTCTCTCTCTCCTGCGTTTTTCAAAAAGCTGTATGCGCACACGCTTCCCACGACGTACACGTGTCACACGCCTGCGTTCAATACGTTATTTCATCGCGTATAAATCAACTGTGGGTATATATATATGTATGTTCTTTCCCAATAAATTTTTCTTACCCCCTCCCCTATTTTTTCTTCAGTGAGATTCCCGAGCGTGTGTGTATCGCATATTGTATTTCGGTCCCTTATTTTTCGTCGAATATCACCTTCGTAGGTATTATTTATGTATAAGCAGTACACGAGTATACCTTAAACCAATGATAAATCGAATCGAAATGGTAAGCCAAGCGCGTGAAATCACAAAAGATTAGGAGCGAAGAATCTTCCGGATTCCAGTGAGCCCTCCTGAATCCCCCGCAACAATCTTTCCGCGAGCACGGAGGAGCCGGCTGCTCATCATTTAACCTACAGCCCGCTGAATGTGTCGAGTATGCGAAACTAAAGTTCGCCCTCCCCGCTGGCATCCCTCCGTTTTGTGGCTTGACCATCGGGAACTTTGATGCGAAGGTGAGTATACGAAGTATGCGAAGGCGTGTACATATTGGCTAACGTGTGGAAAGTAAGTGGAGGATTAAATATCTGACCCACGACGCTAGTGTGTGGGTCACCAATGAAAACACCCGCTGGACTATACTCACAACAAAGGGGAATTTCACCCTCGCCAAAGGCTTCCGCAAAATGAGTGCTTCTTCTTGAAAGTGGCTAACCGGCCGAGAGATTCGAAGAAAATATTACGATACTTGGAGCTTCGAGGTCACGAGAGTGAGGTATCATTGAAACACACGACCGAGCAATAAATAATCCAATAGAGGACATGCTTGCATACACGTGCATGTGCGAGGTGTATCTGTACACATACTGGCTCGAGAAGCCCTCGCGACATCGATTTTTTGGTGACCGTGTAATATCACTGTTAGATTCGAGAATCGTTGACACGTCCAAAATGGGCACTGAGACGTGGGAATGGCAACATAACGAAATAAAGCGTTTTACGGTTTTTGGGTCAGTGAATCGATACGGTATTGCAGCCAAGTGCTGTAACTAAAAAATTGTAATTTTTTAACATCCATACAATCAAAGAATCAACTTAAAAATCGCACGTGCGGCCGAAAAAAAAAAAAAAAAAAAATGGAAATTAGCACGGACAATACGCGTGTCGTTGGACTTATCTCTTTTTCCCTCGCTCTGGGCGCGATGTACAAGCCAGGCTAATACTATACATTTAAAAGCGAAACAATGGTACCTCCGTATCGCCATACGACAAAGCGGTCTTTCTCCTTTTCTCTTATCGGCTACGGACAAAAAACTCCACAGACACACTCAAGAGGAGGAAGGGGTGGGGGGTGAAAAAAAAAAAACAAGTACAATGGGGATTGCTACAGTTATACATTGCCGCACGCGCGAAACGAAATCCAGCCAATTCCCGGTGGCAATTGTCTGAAGCAAGAGAGCTATAGCGCACCAGAGCCACTCGAATCGCGTGTTCGACGACGTCACGGCCGTGTTCCTCCTGCACAAGAGCAGCGCCCGTACATACACACCACTGTACGCCACACAGCATTGCAGCTGAGTTCGGTTTAACCGGGCGAAATTTTCCGAGCGAGGAAGAGGGAGAAGGACGACACCCCCCCCCAACCCCCAACCCCGGAGAAGTTTCTCCTGCAGTCGCTCGCGAGTGGAAAACCCATGAACGGGGGAATCGATACCTCCGACTCATTCCCGGTGCTGTTCGCCCTTTCTTTTCTCTCCGCGCTAAAGGAAAATTCGCAACGCAAATGTATATGCTTTCGGCGCTTCCGGGGCAAAGTTCCGGTCCGAATTTTTACGGGCAAGTGCAAGGTCTCGGTATACAGTTCGTCTCGTCTAACGACTTGGAATTCCGATAACGCGAGCGCGGCTGATTGGAGATTTTGTCCCCCCCCCCTTGATTCATTTGTGTGGTATCGTTTTTAGGATAGCCGTGCTGCGAATTGATTTATGTCGAAAGCGCGTGCACGTGCGTAGGTACGTGACAAAAAGTGTAAAGTCAGGTCACGGTTTAATTGTCTTTGAGGGAGCTCGTGTTGAAATTGTTACCTACGAGCCCGTGCGAACAAAACGGGAGAGCCGGCGCGTCGAGGGGAGCCGAAAAAAGGCTCAAAATGAATGAAGCAAATTTAATTCAGTCCGAAGAAAGAAGGGAGGGAAGGGGGAGGAAGAAGACAAACGAGGTCGCGAAGCGTATATATGTGTGTGTACACACAGGTAATCGGGTGCAGAGGGAACCGGCAAAAAAGCAAACGAGGGAAGGGATGAAAGAGGAGCTGGAGTACCTGCAGACATGGAAGAAGAAGAAGAAGAGGATCATTTGACAATCTTTCGGGCGTGCGGGAGACGTTTCGGGGTAATGGATTTACGCGCACGGGGGACGAGGATGGACTGTCCCGCGCGAGACACGTAGCGTCGCTTATTCTCCGTCCCTCTTAATTGGCGTGAAGATTCAATTGATGCGGTTCTCGAGTAATAAGCCGTGCGACAGTTGGGGGGAGTTGAGCGTTTGGCCGTGCGAGGATGGAGCGGCTGCTTTGCACGAGTGTGGGGAATACGGATGGAGCTTGACGATGTCGATTAATCTTACGTACGATGTGTGTCGATGTATTCTATTATCAGGGGGAAGGTGCGGAATAGATTTTTAGAATATACGATTCGGTTTTCATTTTCAATGTCCTACGAGAGCTTGTCATACATCAGCGTACTCTTCAGCGAGAAGGTTTCAAAACTCATTTTTAGATGATTGCAGGTATATTATGGGAAAACAGCTTACGGCGCAGATATTGTGACGAAGGAAAGAGGGAAAGCTCAAAAGAATGAAAATAGGACATTAAAAGAAGTGTCATTCAGCCGTTTTATGGCGGGCATAAACGCTACGCGGAATATTGCGCTTGAAATCCCACGGGAAAAGTAATCCATGCAGGACTTGTACTGTACGTTTTTTTTTTCTTTTTTTTTTTTTTGCTCGTACAGGTTTAATTACACGTAAGTGATATATAAGGTGACCCCAAGTCAATGAAAAGTCACTAAAGCAAATTTCATTAGTTTACAGCAGCCTGCCTTAACGTGAAAATAGTGTACATGATATCTGCTTGGAATAATCACCATCAGGTGCGAGTATCATTTCCGTTAGTGCAAAATCAACCTTTCCACATTTTTTAAGGAAAATCCGTTTGTAAAAAATCTCCCAGCTAATCGGATTTGTTATTTTTGCGTTACCCGTGGAAAACGCATTGACTTGTCGGTAGACAGGGAGATCGTAAGCTCAAAAAAAAGTGGAAACAGCAAAAGCTACCCGGAAAATATTAATCTTCTTAAACGCACGCACCAACTAGACCAGCACGTACACACACACACACGCGCGCGCGCGCACATGCACATATACATAAGAATCTACCTGTACACGGCTGAGCCGCACATGGGAGCACTCGAGTGAACTCCAGCCGGGTGGCTATAAGCGAATAGGTGAGCTCCTATACGTGTGCCTCTGTAACACGGTTTCTCTTTCTGTTTGCAGGCACGAATCTGTTCTCGGTTGCAGCCCACGAGTTCGGCCACTCGCTTGGACTGGCGCACAGCTCGGAGAAGGGCTCACTCATGTTTCCCTGGTACCAGGGGATAACCAGGGATTACGAGCTGCCCAATGACGATAAGTACGGCATCCAACAGCTATACGGTGAGTAGAGTGTGCCATTCTCCTTGACCCTCCCACCCTGCCACCTCCTCGATAATATCTCGCTCTCTGGGCGCGTGTGGGTAATAGAGCTTTCGAATCACGTAGTTTTACGCTACTATTGTTTTGATCGTTTTACAACTAAGAAATTCTTGCTGGATATTTCTTTTATTGCACATAAAGATGTTCAACGTTGTAAATATGGTACGTGAACTTATTCTTAATCTTAAAAGTATATATAGTATAATCTATAACTGACTGTCTGGCCATACCACGGTCTTATCTACTTATTGAAACACTATGGACCACAAAATCGTACATACCAAGTACCTATTAATCAATAGTCTGATCACAGCTTGACCTTATCTACTTATTCAAACAACGTAGGGGGACAGAAAACGTATAAACCTGTTGTCTGACCATAGCTTGACCTTAGCTACTTAATAATAAAGAAATGAGAAACCAAACATATCCAGTACTTACTAACCAATTGCCTGTTCACAATTTGACCACATCTACTTATTTAAACATTACGGGACACAAAAGCAAACAGAGAGTACCTATTAACCAATCGTCTGACCATAGCTTGATCTCATCTACTTAATAAAAGAAACTCTAGAGATCATGCACAAATGCGAATACCGAGTACCCATTAACGGATTGTCTGACCACGGCTTGACCCCGTCTATTTATTCAAATGCTACAGACCGCAGGCGCTGCGAACGTTTTAATCGTGAAAAACCAACCCGATAATTTTAACGAGTTTCGCGTATAACCCCCCTATTTCAAAAGAATTAATCACAAAACGAATGGGAGCAAAAGAAGAGATAACCGTGTAACGCAAATTTTATCGTCCCCTCCCTACCATAGTTCCAAACCCACGCCCTCTCGAGCGTAGTCCACGATGGTATCCAAGAAGGCACGCAAGGAGCCCCTAGGGAAAAGGAGCCCCTTTTAAAAAAGCGTGGAAAAAAAAAAGCTCGCATAAATAACCCGCATAAGCCGACATAATAGGCACAATATACGCAGAGGCACGAAGAACAGTAGCCGTCCGACCCTCGTTATCTCTTTTTCTCTCGCAAACGAAATTGGAGCTCAACCCCGCGCTAGAGAATATCGCAGGAAGTCCTCGTTTCCGGTCTGACCTCAGCTTCCGGTCCCTCTCTCTCTCTCTCTCTCTCCGTATCTCCTGCTTTCCTTCTCCTCGATACCTTTCCTCCACAGATGGGAAAAAACAAAGATGCTCATCCTCTCCCAGCTAAGTGGTATCCGTATCGCCGAGCACGCCAAAGGCCGTTCATTTGATTTTTGTCCCTCGACGTCGAACGAGTTTCGATCGTAGATACTGAAAACAACATCAGGACTATCGTTTTAACAGTATATGCCGGTGACATTCATTTCATTTCTCCTATCGCTCAAAGCTTGCCAAGGATCTTTTGTGCCCTTTTCGCTCGAACGAACAGAGACACATTTGCCGAACATTGGATGCTGCTGCAGGGGACATGAAAGCGCTGTTCCTTCTTTCATCCCTTTTTACGAATTCTACGCCAAGAACCGAAAGACAAAAGTCCAAGAAGTCAAACAGGAGACAATCGACGGGCGCTCGCATGAATCATCGCTCGGAAAGTCACGTTCGAGCTACTTCATCCTGCACGCGTGTATGTATATATGTAGTTGGATCCAAACCGGTATATCTCGCGGGGGCCGAGGAATGATTTAGAGTACTGCGCGCCTTCACGGTACACATGTAGAGTCTTGCAGTTCAGTTCCCAGGAGTCTTCCTCCTCTTTCTCACGCGTTTCGGACGCTTCGTCTGGTTCGCTCTGTAGGGTGCACTTTACCCATTCCGACGCTTCCCTGCTCTTTTCCTCGTAACCCTTGCCAGAGCTCTCGGGAGGCTAGAGGCCCCTAAAAATGCATCGAAAGCCACTGTACGCGCGTACACGTTTTCCGTACGTGCGAGAGAAAAAGAAAAGGGGGAGAGTCTTTCGTCCCTTGGGGACAGAACAAGGGAAAAAAATCGTGCTTCTGTATTGGGTTATGCAAAGACAATTTCTTGTAAAAACTAAGGGTTACGTAGGTGGAACGTTGCTTCTTTGTTTTTCAACATCAATTGTAGAACATGTGATATCGTATCGAGGAAAATAGAGCACCAACAATCCAGCTGGGAGTTGTCCAATTTGCAATTGCGTCCGATCGTGGCCAACGAAGGGAATAAATTAGCCGTAAAGTGTGTATGAATTTGAGGCTCGATAATCCCACCAGCATTCAAAATCACGAGCTATGGCTCCTCTGTACCGTAGTCATGAGCTCTTAATCATTCGAAATTCTCGAGGACCCTGTCATTACACCCTCTGCCCCCGCGTCCACCTATACGGCAATAGCGCCACGGCGCTCCTATTATTAGCCGCACGAAGGGGAATAGCTGTACGAAATACTTACCCTCTACAGCACGGAAGAATCCCGGTATGTCCCGTCCGTTTATCGATTTATCACCTCGAACCCTCCCTACTTTGTACGTACACGTAAATAGGGTAACGAGAGTCTTAACCTTGCCAGAGGTCCGCGTTTTCTAAAGCGAGCTTATATTTATCGTGTGCGATATTTTGCCCCCTAACGAGTTGGCTTTGCCGTGATTAATGATTTCTTAATCATACTCTTGGCCCTCTTGCAGTAGTGAGTATCCGTGTTTGGTCAGACGTGATAAATTTAGCCCATCCGGTGTTACGTTTATGGATAAACACACAAAAAAACAAAAGTCGAGCTAGCCATTGGCCACTTTTGCGTCGCAGAGAGCCCTCGGGTTCTCGCTCATGCATAAAACAAATACACCTACATCAGGCGTGTTCATGAATTCGAATAGGAGTTTTGGGAATCGGGAAAAATAGCGCAAAGCTTGTTCGAGGGGATCCGAAAGAGGCTCGTGCTCCGATTTTTCAACTTTTTTGGAGAAACTAGGTGAAAATATAAACACTTGGGTGTTTATTCATCACCGGCAACGGCAAAGCGCCGTTGATCCCTGAAATTTGAATCGTTCGATTACCGTATGCAAAATTTAATCATCGCGCGGTAATTGTTTTCCCTAGGACAACAGCTGGGATATGCTGTAGCGCGAGGAGGTACGAACAATATTATATTTTGGGGCATTTATACATTGGCTTGTGGCGATTGCTCATGCATATGTAAAAGCTTCATCGGCGCTATTATACACAAAGGCTCGCGTATCGAAATCAAGGCACTTGGGCTAATCCGATCTCGGAAAACATTCGACTATCGATTATTATGATCGAAGGTATTATTTTTAGCTGACAAATGTTCTTTGCGCGCTGAAAAGCCATTGCGAAAAATAATCGCGCCTAATTATCGCCCGAGCCGGATAATTCATTCCTGTGTAAGCGCGAGAGGGAGGTCGATCGTTTATTTTCCCCTGAAATAGAGTGAAATACGATTTTCCGCAAATAACCCGGCTGCATTAGTGCGAATCGCAGTGCTATATACGTGCACGGAGGCGAGCGCGGGGAGGGAAGGCAAAAGCTCGAATGGGAAATGGATTAAAAATGATTTACAATAGTACCTGCCGGAAACCGTGTACGCGTATATATACGCGCAACGAGTACGGGATTAAGCTCTCGGAGCACCGTGCATTTTTAATTCATCACAAGAGCTACGTTGAATTCGTTCTCCGTTATTATTGGCACACTGAAAGGTTTTCAAAGTGCAAGGTTTTACGGGGGAAAAAAGCTCGATATTTTTTTTTTTTTTATACACAACAGAGTGAAAAATAAGCTGATTTTTCATTTATACCCTGTTAAAATACTTGATGGAGCTTTTTTGTACACCGTGTGTGAGTGACCGAGGCTGTAAACGAAGCTTCATTGTAATTAAAAACTGATACGTAAACCGATTCCCCTGCAAGCAAACTTGAGCTTCTTGCGTAGCTTTTCATTTTCATAAAAAAAAAAAAAAAAAAAAAAAAAACCGTCGCGTGCCATGGAGCATTAATTCATCATTTTGCCGGCACGTTTTCTCTCATTTCTCTCTATTCTGAGTATCGTTGCCCCTCCCCTCTTTGGTCTCGTATTGCATTTCTGGTTGGGGCTTCCGTTCCGCTACGCTAGTGGCATATTTTAATTACGTGGAAATCACTCGAGTTGTTTCAGCGTATAAAGCTGCGGCTGAACGATTGCCCCTCTAATTGGTAGTTGATGAATCATGGGGCTATATTCATCGATTACTTTTAAAATCTCTTTTTTCACTTTACCGGTAGATTAAATGTTTTTTTTTTTTTCCTCCATTTTCATGAGTGAAAGTGCTACATGTACTGTGGCAATTTTTTCAGGTGGATTGGATCGCGAGAAAACATATGTAAATGCTCAAGTGCCGTTTCTGACGCTGCTTTGTGCAGGCAAAAACAGCTGCTTTGTTATTTTTTTATTCTTTATGTTCGAAGAAAGGACTCGGTTTTATTTTTTTAGGTTTTTGGCATCAAACAGATCTCGCGGATTAATCGTAGCTCAAAAGATAGTAAAGATCGATACTCGTGTAACAATCAACCGAAATCTCCTGAGTTATATGCTGCGGTGTACGCAAATACGGGGCCAGTTATGCATTCCAAGAGATAATCACATTTTTTCCTTGGCCCGTGCCCCCCTTGAAATTTTTTCGACTTTGGTACTCGGCAAAAATTAGAAATAGGTACATGAGCGTCGGCCGGAATCTCACGAGAAGGCGGAAGACGCGGAGGAATGCGGGCGGAGGAGAGACAAAGGAACGCGAGCGGCGCTAAAACAGAAGCGGTATTTGGTATTCATGGGGCGCGCGATGAGGGAATCGGACGAAAAAACGGAGGGAAGAAAAAAGGAGTCGCACACGCTCTGCGTCTGATGGTGAGCACATGCTGCGAACTCGCTGGCCGGAAAAGTTAATCATTCGAGGGTGCGGGTGGAGACCTTTTACCGACGGCAAATTTTCGAGTTCACTGTAGATAGCGCGAGGATTATCTCGGCGGAATTTTTTTGTTTTTCATCGTAAACAAAGGCACTTTTTTATCATCACATTATTTGCATATTAAATGAAAATTTACCGGGATATTAATGAAAAATTGATCGAATGTACCAGGATAATTTTTTTTACGTTTGTTGCACCCTGTACTTGGGGGAGGGGAGCATCGTACCGAGCATATGGCTCCGTTTCCGAGCACAGCAAAATTTTTGTTCCCCTCTCGCGGATATGCAGATTTGAGAGTTGTTACCAAACTTTTGTCCACAAACGAAGTAAAACTCTCGTTTTCTCGGCACGGCTCGCGGTCGCCGCGGGAGGGCAAAGTTGGAAGAAAAGAAGAAGAAACCGGGAGCATAGTAGCCGCGGTTTTTCCCCTTACACCCGACGCGTACGACTACCGCTTCCCTTTTTTCTCTCCTCCCGCCCTCCGTTGCACATACCTATACACGAGAGGCGAGCCCTACAAACGAAATTCATTTCCCGCGAAACTTTTCCCGTAAACTCGAAGGAAAAGCCCGGTGCTCTTTATAACCATTATTTTTTGTTGCAATTAAAATTAGCTCTCGACTTTTGTTATTCACTCTGCCCTCCCCCAAGCGGCGGTGAAGCATACTGTACGCGGAGCGCTCGTGCTGTGTAACTCTCCGAGCAATACGTTGCGCGCAGAATTAAATTCCGTGAATTATGACTCTCCATCTCTCCTCTTTTATTTCCCTCCCTCCCCCTCCCCCCTTCTTTTTCTTGCTTTGTTTTTAATCAAGTGAATTTTCTGCAACCTTTGCCCTCCCCGAACTCAAACTGGAGAGGCTTGTTTACGAATTAACTGAAAACCTTTATTTTCTCACCTGCGACACAAACACCCCCACGCGTATCATTCATACTTTCACTTGCGACGCTGTAAGCTACATTGGCTCTGAAATACGACGAGTCACCCTTACTCTCAAATATCCCTTGAGGTATCCTTTGACGGTTATATATATATATATATGTATGTTCGCGCACCACCTGAGAATAAATCGCAGTGACGCGTGTGGTCGGTTCAGACCGATGAGGCGTGGACTCGCGTGAAAGGGTCCGATACAGGAGTGGCAGAGAGGGAGAGGGAAAAAAAAAATTGTATCCGATGAGACCTACCGCTGCTTCCGCGTCGATTGTGTATCGAGAAAAGTGAGGTTGCTTGGATTAACTCCGAGGATTGAATAATTGAGGCACGCATGAAGGGACGGAGGCCTCGATCGATTTTTTTTTTTTTTTTTAAGTCGCTCCGAGCCACGTGACTTTGACGCTGCACAGTACCTGCCTCGTGTACAGTATATATACCTACGGTGTTTTATCGCGCATCGCGTAAGCTCATTGGGTTCGCGATCACGCGCCCCTAACAGCTTGAGTCAATATTTGCGAGTGTATACACGCACGCGCGCTCGCGGAAAACATATCATCGCGCGGCCAAATGATAATGACGAAAGTCATCGTTCCGTGCCAAAATACTACTCTGTTTAGCGTACAGTGAAATCGTTTGGCGGATGGATTAAATTTTCTCGAATTTACGTGAACTCGCGTGGAAACAATACTTCGGACAAACGTATACGTATACGTACATTCGGCAGTAATATTAATTTTCGAGTTGTGTACAATGGATGCGCTGATCCTTGATGGGAAGGGCGCATTAGGTACACGCATAATTAAACGATAAGCGCAGAGTTTGCTTCGTCGTTAATTTTGCGTGTACGTGTATAAGTACTCGCGTGCAGATATGTACACACGAGCGTATAAAATGCATGGGGGTTTGGAAAAAAAATACGCTCTGTACGAAAATGTTGTCTAATCGAATGAAAGGGCCCCGGACGATGCTTCCCCGGTATCCATAAATCCCTCGTAATGATTGCACTCACTTGTTACGTGCATACATACATACATGTATAATGTTATGTTGGTACGTGTAATTATGCGTACGAAAATCCTCGCGTAATTTTCGTGTGAAATCGTCGAGTTGGGCGCGCGAGCGTACACTTATCGAACGTTTCGCGCATTAAACAATGGGCCTGGAGCCTAAAATCACTGAGTTATAGCTTCGTTGTCATTGTTTGCGCGCGCGGGGACCGTGAGCACAGCTACCGCGCGCTCACACATGAGCGATGACGCGTAGTGCTAGAGGCTATGGAAGCAAATTTTGGATGTGCCAGGGATTTTGTCGAAACAGTTTAGATACGCGATAAGTATTTCTACGGGATTTAATGCCGGAGGCTAAGGGAGTCGGGGCGGTTTTTACGGTCTGCTCGCCATCGGATTACGGCAGAATTTGCAACACACGCCAGTCAAATGGGCGAACGTTAATTTTCGTGAGATGCCGGGGCTACAGCTTACGGGGCTTGCCTTTCATTGATCATAGCCAAGGGCAAGTTTTTTTGTTTTATATTACTAAGATCTCGAGATTGCGAACGAAAAAATTTTACTCTTATTTTTTTGTTTCCAGTTGACGTTGGCTCGTGGTTTATTTTAAAAAACGTACTTATTATTATTATTATTATTTTTTTTTTTTTTTTTTTTTTTTATCAAACCAACTACTTAGTACTTTCAGTGCGAAAAAGCATCAGAGTTTTACACAGCTGTCTCGTTAACTGATCATAACCGATAGCAGCGTATACATTATATGTGCTCCAATCGTCGTATTTAATCACGTATAGCGTCGCGACGGCGCCGTCCTCTATAAATTAGGTCGCAACAATCGCCGGTCCCCGCAACTTGTCATCCGAGGCTTTTTTTATTTTTTATTCAAACGACCCAGATATTTCATTTGAATACATGAGAACGGATGATAATAACATAGAGTAAGCACCACGTGTCGCGACTCGACTACCAGATGATACAAGCGTGATCGGAAACAAAAAAAAACAAAGATCAATGTCTCTTTGGCCGTGTACGCGCAAATTCTTAAGGTATGGGATAATCTAGTGATACGTTTGTTACCATTAAGAGACGGACTGAAAGAAAATCGGAATTATCGTCGCGAGCGTTTTTCGACTGATTTCATTATTACTTTTTTGTTCATGCCGAAGCAACTTTGTTCTAGGTACTGTTCAATGTTCAAAGGGTAGCTGAAATATACAGTCGAATCGCAACGCCGTTGAGACTTGGAGCGCACAAACAGTGACGCTAAATACACAAATCCATCCATCCATTCGCGAAATCATCGCTCCCGATGGCCATTTACCTCGACTCGGGCGCATCTCTCCTCTCCCCCAAAGCAGCGTATAGGCACCTCCGGCCAACCGTAACCGTGGAATTTCCGTTATTGGAAATTGTGGATAATATCGCGAGCACGACCGCAACCGCGTTTTTACACACAACTGCAACCCCATTTGCAGTGAATATAGCGTTTTGTTATCATCGTTTTTCGGCCTGTTAGCCGTACCCGACATATCGATCTATCGACCAATTGGTTACAACCTCCACGTCCATCATCGCCGCGATCTATGCTTCGGTTTCTTGAGATCTCGATCGAGACGCTCCGAGGATCGTAAGGGCGAAAATTATTGTATATACTATATTACAGAGTACCTATGCCTTATTCGCTCTTTGTGTCCTGTGCACATAAATGTGGGTGTGTGTGACCACAGGATAGGTATACATAGGTACGTATATGATTGAATGTAACAGGTATACGCGTCGGAGCATATCGCTGACCTCGACTACTTATATCCCCAGCATAGCTGCCACTCACGCACGGTATTTCGAATGGAAGCGCGCACGGATACATAATTATACATACGGCCGAACGATTTCCAACTCGCGTATAAGCTTTATGCCTGTTACACCCATGTGCATAACACAGCGGTCGGTGCAGTTGAATCCGTGGGACGACCGTCCGTGTCCTTTTTTTTTTTTTTTTTTTTTTTTTTTTTTCTCTGCAGAGTCTGACGTTAGGAAAAAAAGGATCGAATCCTGCAGTGAGCGCGAAATTACGTGCGACACGGGAAAAGACAGCCCATGGATATTACGTTTATGTAACAGCTGCACCACCGAGTGCCGTTATGAAATATTCGTACGTGTTGGACGAGATGAGATCCATTTCCTCCCGACCTTTGGAAAAGATACCCCATCTTATACCTCCAAATATTATGTAAAGTATACTCCTCGCGCTGTTATCCATATCAGTATGGATACAGGTATATGGGTATGTATCCACCGCTGTGTGGTCCCTCGAGCTCGACAGGTGCACGACAACCGCGTAAAAACTTTTACGTTTGGCCAAAATTTCGCTAAAGTTCATGTGGTCAACGTTTGGCCAAACTTTGGCCAAGCTTGGGCAATGAGAAAATCCCAAACTTGGATTTTCGTTGGAATATTTTACTCAATATTTTTCGTAAGTCATATAATGAATTTTTTAGACGTTTGGAAGAACATTTGCTAAGCTTGAGTAAAATATTCCAACGAAAATCCAAGTTTGGGATTTTCTCATTGCCAAAGCTTGGCCAAAGTTTGGCCAAACGTTGACCACATGAACTTTGGCGAAAGTTTGGCCAAACGTAAAAATGTTTACGCTCCAATTGGCTTTCATACATAATTATATATAAATATCTCCATGGATGACACGCAATGATACGTACCGTTATGGAGTTTTGCCGCTAAACATGTATAAGCGTGCCGCAGTGCCCGCGGATCGGATATGAATTTTAGATTCAACTGTTTCGAAAATTTCATGTATCCCTGCATAATTGATCGCCCATTGATAACTTGACGCGCTCTTATCTACATCGATTGTTGATAGGTGTCACGTGTAACGATATATAATTACGTCATGAAAATATAAGATCAAGGAAAAAAAGGAGACATGGAAATCAACAGTAAACAATGTGTGTATTTCAGGTGCGCCAACCAAAAAACTTTGGGACTACAACCCTCGGCCACCAACGACAACGACAACGACGACGACGACGAGGCCGCGGACGAGACCAACACCGAGGCCAACACCAAGGCAGAGGCACCCGCACCGGCATCCCAACAGCGACTATCCTCACAACCGTCCGAGCTACCATCCTCCCCCCAAGGAGCCGTACAAGCCCAGCTGGCCCCATTACTACCCGTACCCGACGACGCAACCACCACCACCGGCCACAACCACCACGACCACGACAACGACCGAGAGACCCTACAGGCGTTACTCGAGCATTGCGACCGTCGGTGTGACCAGCCGGACGACGACCGCTCGCCAGACGCCCACCAGGAGGAAGCCCCAGGGGTGCGACCTTGCGAGCTACGACGCCGTGAGCCTCCTGCGCGGAATGATCTTTGTGTTTGCCGGACCGGTGAGTTGTATTGCAATTTTTGTGTAGGTATAAAAAATGTGAAAACAAAACAAAACAAAAAAAACAATGTGATGGTGTTGGCAGTACCTGTGGATGCTGAGCGACACCGGGAAATCGACGTACGACAGGCCGGTCGAGATCGACAGGTACTTTAGGTTCAACAGAAGCATAGAGCGCGTGGACGCGGTGTACGAGCGCTCGGACGGCGACATTGTCTTCTTCATAGGGCGCGAGTATTACGTGTTTGATGGGAACGATCGCAGGCCCGGGTATCCCAGGCGACTGGCAGCGCTCGGTTTGCCCAGCGATCTCATGAAAATCGACGCCGCCATGGTCTGGAAGTACAACAAAGGGACCTACTTCTTCAGCGGCCACGAGTACTGGAAGTACGTTTTNCGATGTTCTACACAGTTGCGCTACACAGCATTGATTTTCGAACTTGACAAAAAGAAGTGACTCATTGATACAACTAGGCCGTTGGATAGTATTGTTTTTCTTCTCTTTCGTTACGTATAAGTCTTTGTATTTTGGCTTTTTTTTTTTTTTTTTTTTTTTTGTATAAGTCTTTGTATTTTGGCTTTTTTTTTTTTTTTTTTTTTTTTTTTTAATTATTATTATTATTAAGTATATCTGTGTTCCTTCGCTCGTGAATTGAAAGTTTTATTCATACCGGAGCAGTGTCCAGAACGATTAACATTTTACAACCCTTTCCAGGTTCGACGAGAAGACTAACAACGTGGAGCTGGATTATCCGAGGGACATAAGCAGATTCACCAACGTCGGCCCAAACATCGATGCTGCCTTTCACACGAAAAACGGTTAGTGCTGTGGATTTATGTGTGGGTATACTTTATATTTCCCAGTTGCAACAATTTTTCATTTTAACGAATCCGTTTGTATTTAATCGACGATCTATGTATGTGCACTTAAACGGTATACATATACATAATGTACTAGCGCATGAATATTATTCGACCATAATAAGTCGTTATTCATTAAATTAATAATAATAATAAAAGTATCAATTGAAAAATATATGATTGGTGAGCCGCGCGTCGAGTAATTCGAATTAATTATTATTATTATTATTGTTCCTTTATGTAATTCATTCCTGACGAAGCACAATTATTATGACAATGGATGATATAGCTTACCTACATTTCATTACGCCGTTATAGGTATACATATCTGCACCGAGGAACGCGTAATATTTTGTGCCGGGGTAAATTGAATATGGCATTCTTGGAACAATACGACCTTATTAATACGGTCGGTAGGTATTCAACGGAAGAGCGCTAACGAAATGAAAGACGATTCGACGAGAAGTTTCGCGATATCGATCAAATTGAATTCCGCAAATATACCGTAGTCCTGTATTATAACGGAGGGATGGACAAAAGAAACAAGTGCGTGTGTGCACACCTACGGAAAGTAATTACAACTTTTTTTTTCCCCCCCCCTTTTACAGGTACAACGTATTTCTTCCGGGGTAAGAACTTTTGGCAGTTCGACGACGCGCGCATGAAGATCGTGAACAGGAAGCCCAAATCGTCGGCCCACTACTGGATGGGCTGTCCCCGGGGCGTGGACACGAACGAGATCGATTCCAACGATCCGACCTACGACTCCCAGAACTCGGCCGCCGAGGCGCCCTCGTTCACAATCGCACTCGGCCTGGGATTGGGACTGGTGTACCAACTGCTTACGCGGCATGCTGCCTTGTAGCTCTGTTTGTGTGACTTTACTCCTGCGTACCGTTCTTTACTAAAGCCGAAACTGGACGTAGTGATGACAATCCAAACCTTTACTCCTGTGTATTGTGTATCTGTCGCCAAGTTTTGTTGTATATCATACCAAAAGCACTCGAGTTTGCGCCTTCAATTTTCGTTCTCTTCAAGTTAGTTTTCACGAATATGAGTACAGTGATGATTTTTATTTTTTTTTTTCACAATTCGTGTACTGTCGTAACTGGAGGATTCGTCCACAGTCGGGCCATTTTATTTTTGTAAGTCATATAATGAATTTTTTAGACGTTTGGAAGAACATTTGCTAAGCTTGAGTAAAATATTCCAACGAAAATCCAAGTTTGGGATTTTCTCATTGCCCAAGCAAAAATTTTTACGCGGGTAACCATCGTGCCATTTCTTGTTATTTGTACTTACTTGCGATAACGTGATTAATATTGTGTTCATGTACAGTTGTATTCATGTCTCTTGTCGTATCGACTTTAAGTTATCAAACGCAATTCGACGGCAAAACAGGAAGAGAGGTAAGGGGGTAGGTGGGGAGTTTCCTTATTCTCGTCACGTACGAACTTTGTTATATTATAGCCCATCTGCCGCCTCAGCCACGACAACGGTACGCCTCAAAACTACAAATTGTTATAATACAATAACGTATAGGAAGCGTTAATCGCGCTACGCGGTGTCGACCAAACGGCAGAACAATAAAACAAATATTGAAATCAACGATTAGAATATATTCTTTAAAACCATGGGAACAATGATGATGAAGCAATGCAACACGGCAACAGTGCCAGCATGACAACTAGTGGGTTATCTTTCAACGGGCTCGGATATTAAACGTGGAGTACATTTTCACCGCACATCCATTACTGCGCGTGATGCTAGCGAGAAAGTTGGTGCACGTATATACAAATATAGGTACATACAACTGAACAGTATATTATGTATGTATCGGTTGACGTGCCCATGTATATATATATACCTACTTACCATACTTGGACGCATATTTGCACATATAGGTACACCTACCCCTGGCTATACCAACTAAACACGATCCCAAGCTACCGTGCCCCCGCAGCAGTATAAGGTGGGTACAGCAGTGCGGCTCGTCTCGGATGCCTCGAGCTGTACACGACGCAAGCCCACTATTTGTATGGGTATGGTATAAGGTATAGGTACACATGTACATACACGTGCGTGCACATGATAATTAATGTATATGACATGGCGCTTCTCCCATGTAATGCACGACAACACACACACACACAGAGCAACAAACGTGTGTAGGTACTGTAGGTATGTATGTATGTATGAGCTTGCACGCACCCTACACGCGGCTGTGCAGCCAAACCGAGGGCTCATTTGATTATGTATATGCGGATCACGTGCACGTAGGGGTACACATAGGCACATACGTCCCTGATAAATACAAGACGCACTTGCCCCTGCATGCGTAAGTGATAAGTATGTATCGGTGTAAGTATGTGTAACTACTAGGCGTACACCCACGCGAGTATATGTGTAAAGGTTGCGAGCTTGCAAGCAGCCCAGCCATGAAGAGGATAGCCTGAGACTGAAGTACCCTATCTCGCAAAAGGGGAGAAGAGGAAGGCAGAAGTGGCTGCGGATGAAATAGATGCACGTCCATCGCGGGAGCTTGCTCTTAAACGCCGGCGGAAGCAGTCTATCGACGTTCTGCATTGTTCCGCAAATGCTTTCTCCCTCGATAGGTATACAATACGACAACACCACGTATATATATATATATATATACGCGATTGCTCGTAATACGAGCATATACATTCGGTAGAGGGTGAATTTATCATTTTTAGGCACGTCTCCTTCGTATCGGAAAATTTGTATTATCCAAGAGTTCCTCGGGAAAAAAGGTGCAAGCTGCATTCGACGTCTCAGCGAAATCTGCATTGCAAGGAAAACCATGTACACACAACGTGGCTCTAATTTTTTTTTTTCAACCTTTTTCCAGTGCCGCACACCGCGGGTAAAACAAATCCCTAAACACATACAGCTGGTCGGACGAAAATAAGTGAAACACGAGAACGAATTAACTTTGATCAGAGGAAAAGTTTGAACGGTTTGGTGCTTCGATCGAAACACGTCGCACGCGCCGACAGTTGTTGGTAGGTATCGGCAAAAAAGAGAGGGTGAAACAAAGTCAGCGAACGAGACGCCCCGAGGGCCACGTGTACCTACNTTGTTGATTATAAATAATTACATCTTATGCTTTATGATCGAAAAAAAATATATATCTAGAGAAATATCTTTTAAATTAAGTTATGGACAATCAAGTGTTGGGAAATTTTTACCTACTTTTTTTTGTTACTTGTAATTTATCGATGGAAACGCTATAGAAATGATTTCTTATTTTATTTATAGTAATAAATAAAACAAGACAATGAACTATACAACTGCCTTCATCGTGAGGAACGATCTACATTCCTTCACGTCATTATACTACTTATGCTGTATTATTATTTAAACGTTGTATTATTATTGTTCAATTGAAAAGATAAAATACAGCATAAAAGTAATTTAATTTTACGAGTTTAAAAAAAAAACTCTACTTTGTTAATTCATTAGATTAAGGAAAAACCAAAATAGGAAAAAGTTGTGAGTCCACGAGATGGAGCATTTTTAGTTGTTTTACTACAATTATTTATGTACAAAAATATAAAAAAGTACTAGAACTTTTATACTTGAATTCTTTATACAGAGCGAGCAGTTAGTTTTTTAAACTGTGATATTTGTATTGAAGTATTGCTAGTCTGAAAAGGGAACCGCCTTATACAAGTGTACTTTTCGATACTTGAATACTTAAAAAAAATTAACTTGAATGAACCGACTGTTCAGTGTCTTAATAATCAACAATTCAATGAGCCCGTTCAAATGGTTTGAGCAGACTAGCGTACCAAATTTTTAACTTAATAAGCCGTATTTTGTAAGCTCACGCTTTTTATGTGTATATAATAGGATGATAATAAATTAATGTTTATTGAAAAAATTTTAGTTATGCATGAATGTTTTCGGCAACGTGCAAAAATAAAGAGACATATTTAATTTTTTTTTTTTTTTTTTTTTTTTTTT